CCCATCCTCTGTTCCTGAGGGTATATCTCAATTCTGGTTGGTTTGCTACTATGGGGCATGGTGTTGGGGTCCGGGCTGTCTGCAGCTTCTGCAAACAGCACCTTGGGAGCTCCACTACTGCACACTGGTCTGTGTTGACACAGAGTTTCCACTGGTCCAATGGTGCCAGATATGCTGGTGGGTTCAGGTTGCTGGGTCCTAGCCATTCCCACTGCCTCCTCCCAGGGGAGACCCGAGATCTTCCAAAATGGTTGGACATCCTCATAGCATAGGGAGAAGTACCCTGAAGAGTTGCTTACTGCTGTAGCAGGTTGATCAGTCCGCAGCACAGGAACCTTCTGCTTTGCGTCTCTGCACTGCAAGAATTTGGTTGTCCACCTTCAGGTTCACTTACACTCTCTCACACACTAGCTCACTCTCTCACACACTCACCCTCCCTCCGGTCCTGCCAGCTGCCATCTTTTAACAGACTTATTGTGATTTTGACTTTTGTTTCTGACTAGAATAATTCTAGTCTGAAGAAAAAAATTCCATTGTGAAGTATTTAAAATTGCCATTTTGATCTCTAAGGTACTAGAGAGAAGGGTATAAGAAATACCAAAGAATTATCCAATCATCAGTTATAGTGGCAATGTTAGAATTTCTAATGGAAATGTGGAAAAACTATTATTTACTCCCTCAATATAAAGGACAGACAAGAAAGTGAAGGCATGAAATACTGATGCTTTGGAGGAAAAAAATAGTTGTCACTCCTAATTATTTAGTATAGTATTATTGGGAGAGAAAGAGAAGAATTTCCATTGGAGTTAATTTTTTCCACTTTTTGTTTGTCTTAATACAATCAACTCAAGGACATATGGCTAGTAGAGTGATGTCATGAAAATCTATGTCAGTGTTTTTGTACACAATATCTGCTCTGGCTTCATAGAGTTGCTATGGTGATTAAATTAGAAGAATACTCAGAAAGGTATCTGGCAAAGAGTAGTCATTGAATATCAGTTTATTAAATACTACAAAAATTGGCAAAAGTAGGTTTACAGTTGTTTGCATGGAAAAAGACACATAAGTTATGATTATTACAAAGGTTTATTAACTCAAAAGAATGTCACAATGCAACTGTAAACCTACTTTTCCCCATGCCCATATTTTTAAAAGTCAGTTAACACTATGTATATTTGTCAATGGAATACTATGCAGCTGCAAGAAAGAAAGATCTCTTACCCTTTACTATGCAGCTCTAAGAAAGAAGGATCTCTTACCCTTTGAGATAGCATGGAGGGACCTGTAGAGTATTATGCTAAGTGAAAGAAGCCAATCAAAGAAAGACAAGAACCACATGATGCCATTTATTTGTGTAACATAATAAACAAAATAAGCTGACGAACAAAATAGATCCAGAGACATAGAAGTAGGGAACAGACTGACATACCTTAGAGGAAAGGGGGGTTGGAGGAAGAGATAAACCAGAGAACTTATATGCATATATGCACAACCAATGGATACAGACAGCAGTAAGGTGAAGGTTGGGGTGGGACGGCAGGAGCAGGGAAAAGGGTGTCAATGGGGGAAAAAATAGAGGGACATCTATAATACTTTCAACAGTAAAGATAAATTAAAAAAGAAAAAAGGGTATGAGAGTACTCTATCAGGAAAGAATGAACTGTCAGGGTAGAAGAAAAAGCAAGCAAACAAACAAAAACAATACGTCTATTTCTAACAAAATCGGCCACTTACTACTTTATTAAAGTGAAATCAACTTTTTAGATTCATATAAATGGGTATATTCAAAACTACAACAATGGTACTGTGAGAGAGGGGAAATTTTTCATTTCCTTTTTTAGTTCTTCTGGCTGGTCAAATGATTATAATGACATAAGGCAAATTAACAGAAGAAAATAACCAAATTCAATTATGTACATATGTACAGGGTTTCCATAAAAATATGAGACCAGAGGATAGTTGAGTAGTTAGACTTAAATGCCATCTTGAGCTAAGGAGAAGGGGTAGAGTGTGGTTTGGAAGTTCAAAGGAGAAGAAATTCATATGGCGAAGAACAAAAATTGCAAATGTTTGATAAACAAATGTTTGTTGGATGATCTTTAACACTTGGACATAGAGTGGACTTTGATCAAATAGGCATTGCTCGGTTGCTCCCTGTCTATCACACATGGTTCATATTAAACTATCTTCATCTACAGTAACAGGTCTTTTCCAGGAACAGGTACGCTACTTAAATGACTTTAGGCATTTGGGGAAGATCAAAGGTTGTTCCTGCATCTTTTACTTCTTAAAAATAATCAGGTTAAAATGATGACTATCTAAAAAGATATATATTTTGGGGTTGCAAACTTTGCTCCCTTTCAGGACAAGCTATAATTTTAGTAAGAAAACACTTAAATTCTCCCCTAATTAATTTCAATGGACTTCACACAAATAGAACATTGCTGTTTTAATCGATAACAATGATATCAACTTTCCATTTTATAATACAAAAAAATATTAAAAATCAATAATTGATGGTACAGGTATTAAATGTATGTAACAAATATAAGAATATTATGAATAGAGGTACAATTTGGAACATACTCATATGAAATAAATTAATGAATGCATTTTTCCTTCTTTGCACAATTGTTTTTCTTTTTGTGTGTTACAAAAATTGATTCGGCTCTATTGATAAAGATTTTTAAAAATAAGTCTCTCATTATTTAGATTTCAGCTCTTAAACATAAATATTTTATTAAAATAGTCAAAATTAAATTTAAATTGTGTTTCACAAATATTTCCACAGAAATTATAGCACTGACTTTTAATAGTGCATTTGAATTCTCTTGAAGATTTCACATGTTAAAGTGAAGTAACTGAAGAGAAAGCTACCAAATGAAATATGAATCCTACCTTTGCTGAATTCAGTGAAATAACTTGCAAAATCAATCACATTAGTTTCCAGGCAAAGGATTAAATATACAGTATTTACTCAAACAACACGAACATAGTAATAAATGATTACATATTAAAGTGACAACATACTGACAAATCTTTTTACTCTAGGAGAACCCTGATTCCTAAAATTTCATCAAGGACCAACTCTTTCAGACATGTCCCACTATCTTCCCAACCAAACCACCTTTATTTTCTATTCCACCAAAATCTAGCCGTGACTTTGAATTTGCCTATCTATATTGAAGATACTCTAATTAAAGTGCTCTTTTAATACAGTGGTATCTGACTCTACTAGTTCAAAGCGAAAACTGTCAACAAGGTGGCTTCTTTGCATCTCAACAAAAAGGAGTTTACCATTAGTCAGAAGCTCCCTGGAGAGCGTGCATACAGTACCCATATATGTACGCTATTTTCATGCATTCAGATGGGAGAAGAGACACCATGGCTTCCTGCCTGTTGGGGGCTGAAATTGTCCCCCCAAAATTCATGCTACTTTCATAATCCCCAGTACCTCCAAATGTGGCTGTAGCTGGAAATAAGGTCTTTAAAGTGAGGCTTTCTTTAAAATGAGGCCATTAGAATAGGCTATAATCTAATCTTAGTGGAGCCCTTACAAGAGTTGAGGACCCACCATGAGATACCAGGCCTGTACTCACACAAGGGAAAACCATGAGAAGAGGGTATCCATTTGCAATACAAGAAGAGGACTTGGAGCAAAAGAACCCCGCTAGCACCTTGACATTGGAATTCCAGACTCCAGGCCTGTGACAAAATAAATTTCGGGTGTTTAGGCCACCCAGTCTGTGGTATATTGTAAGGGTAGCCTGAGATACATCATACAGAGCTGCAGACAGAGATTTATTTCCTGGATTATCTGCTTTCCCACATTATTTCATAAGAGCATGTTCAATGACCTCCTATTTGCCCAATGAGGTGAGGATGGAATTTTGGCAGCGTGGTATTGTGGTGTCCAAAATCACAGTACTGGACCCTGTGGAGCTGAGCTACACAGATATTTATCAAATCATGTATACTCACAAGATTGGGGTAGAGGACACCAGGTGCCCAACAGTGGCATTTGAGGGTTGCACTCAGAAACAGTGAGTGAACAAGCTCAGTGGGAGGCAGGATATGTGTGTTATCAAGAGCATGAGGTGACCCCTAATTCCCAGGACAGCATGTAATCAAATTGTTTGCAAAGTACACAAGCTGGTAGAGAAGAGAAACCCACTACTCAGGAATTAGCAAAATCTGGACCCTGTCCCCTTCATAAAGATGGTGGTTTGGTTGGGGACTCGGTCTGCAATTGAAGAGTATGGAGGGCAACCTGGAGTGAGGCACTTTGAGGTCCTGCTGATTTCATGGCAGGTCCAGGCAGCACATAATATTGGGACTTAAATTGAGACCTTGCCTCACAGGGCAGTTTTCCACGAAAATATTTTCTCTCTCAACTCAGACATCTCAGCTGAGGGTCTGGCCTCTGCTCACCAGCCTCACAGCCTCACCTACTCCAACATGTAGCTTAATTTAAAATGACATTTCAGGGATTGACTTGCAGTATCCCCAAACTTAAACGGCCTTGACGCAGATAATTTACACTTATTGCTTTCGTCTGCAACACCTCCCGAATCACCCGCTCTTTCTTCTTTCCTATATGTCATAGAGGGAGTCTCAACATCCTCCTTACATGGTCGAAGCTCCTAGGGAGGAAATTCCATGAGCAGAGCCTGGGCCTATATCTTATCATCCCTAGTACTACTAGCACAGAGCCTTAAAAGGCAGATGCTCAATTAGTTTTGGAGAATAGAAGAAAAAGGGAGCGAGAAGTTTAAATTGGTACAAATTACTATCTCCCCCATTCTTGAAGAAGCTAAACATATCAAGGTATCAAGCAATGAATTTTACGAAAGACTGAACAAGAAAGGAGACTCCAGGTTGATGATATTTTATTTTCTTTCTATTCTGTTATCCCCACAATTTTATTGTGGCATTCTTTCAGATGTTCACCAAACATCCTATAGTGAGGTCACCTATCTTTTCGTGACCCAAAATCATCCTCAGAGTCTACTAGGAGTGGACACCCTGGTCGAGGTGGCCATGGAATATTTCCTGCCTCTGGTACCTGTGCCAGCCCTGGCAGGCCCTCTTGCTGGTGCTCTTTCTTCGTCCTCCCTCAAAGCTTCTTCATATTGTGATGTGAAGGCACTTGGAACCGTATCGTTGACCTTGGCCCAAAATGTCAGGATTTCCATCTTGTTTGTTTCGGCATAAGCTTTGGGCCCCCACAGGAACTCATAGCATGGAGGGTCACTACCGGGCACCTGGCGGTACTCCAGGTACTTTAGCTTCACTAGGTCTTTGGTAATTAGCTTCCTAGGCTCCCCGTAGATATAGTGCTTCTTCCCAGGGAACAGTCGCATGGCATTGAGGAATTCCCAGATCTCTTCTTCACTGGCATGGTTGCCATTCAGGAAGATCACGCCCAGGATATTCATCAGGAGACCGGTCTTGGGTAACCCCCTGCCCGGACGCACCCTCCCGTTATTGGGCAGTTTCAGTTTGCTGACAAGGTCGTAGGAGTGTCGGGTTGAGTCCACTTCCTTCAAGTCAGCTCCAAAGAGAACTTCAATGCTCTCAGAGGCTTTCTTAAGGATCTCAGCAAAATAACGGTGGTACCTTTCATTGACAATGTTTAGCATGTCTTCCCAGAGAATGGGCTGCTTCACTCTATACTTGTACAAAAGAAACTTCTCCAAGACAGTCACCTGGACAGTTAGAGGATCACAGCAGGAGTTCTCGGGAGATAAGCCCTCATGGGACCATGAATAGTCCTCATCTTGGCCATCCTCAGAGCTGGTGGGAAAAGCTACCGAAGAGGGAATGTAGATAGGTGGCACTCTCCAAGACTCCTGGGCAGTACTAGTTGCCTCAGTAGCTGATGAGCTCTCTGGATTATCCTCCAAAACAGGAGATGAGGAGGAGGGGGCCTCTTCTCCCACTGTGGCAGCTGACTCGGATATCCAGCGACTCTGGACTTCATCTTGGGCCCTTTGTGGTTTCTGATTGTTGTGGCGCTTACTTCTGTGCCTCCTAGGCATGATGAGTAGGGTCACACAGAGAGAGTGGGGAGGGGCGGCAATTGGGGAACAGGTAATGAAAGCACCTGGAGGAGGAAGGTTGAGAGTGTGTGTGCACCTTCGACCTAGAAATACTACCTGGAGTGTACGGAAGGCTACATTTGCAGCTCTATTCAAGGACACTGCTCTAAAACTCCACAGGGGTCCTGTACTAATCAGCCTGTGCCTTGACAAACCTTGAACCTGTATGCTGCCAGTCCTGCCTCAGGCATACTGAGGGGACAGCAGGGACTGGCAGTCTTTGAGTTTGAGGAGTGTCTTGTTTCACATTCAAGTGCATCATTCACTTGGTGGCACTTGGAGGGAACAAGAATGAAATGAAGGGGTTACTCCACTCATGACCCGCGTCCACGTATTCATAGTACTGAATATTCTGTGGTGGGTTTTCTGTCATGGTCTTTCTGGGGTCCTGAGTCTTCATCAATGGTCCTCCTGTGGCTTCTCATGAAGCCTTGTGTCCCCACCCCTTTAATTGAATCGTGGCTACACCTTCAAAGTAAGGATTTCTTCCCCCAGAGAGGAAATGAAAGTAAGCATTGGGGATGGCTCAGCTTGATAAACCTGTCCTGGGTGTTAAGGAGCTGAAAGGATGGGTGGGCCCAGATACGTTTTCATCCCTTCTATGTAGGGGTGGATGGACCCTCAGTCCTTGCTTTGACCTACCACAATCATGTTCTGTAGTTTCTCTCTGACCCTTAGGCCTGCCTCTCATGCTAAGGCCAGGGCAACAGTGAGCCCTGTAGAGGAGAGTGAGGATCTTAGGCTCTGGCAATTCCAGTGTTGTGATTCTTTCTAGGCTGGGTAAGGAAGGACTATTATGGTGTACTCACTGTTGAGAGGTGTGTGGTTCCCTCGGTCCTCGTAGTATTCACCTTGGCCTCTGGAAAGCCTAGAAATCCTCCCACGAGGGACCTCAAGCTATACCCCTTAGACCAAGTCCCTCAGCCCATTATGACACCACAGGAGGCATGTCGTCATGCCGACAATGCCCAGGTATCCCAGGGCAGCCACAAGGGTGGAGGCCTGTGGGGCTTTCCCAATTCTGAGAGTGATGTTTTTTTTTTTAAATCCTCACTCAGGATTTATACTTACATTCCAGGAAGGGCCTAGACCTCCTTCCTTTCCTTAACTGAGTATCCTCTCCTCAAATCAAGGCCCTCCCATCTCTGACCCCCTTCTTACTGAATCAGTCTGACTGCCCTGGCGAAGGTATCCCAGGGTAGATGGCTTGGGCAGTGTCTGTGCCACCTCATGGTCACAGTGTCTATGTCCCTCTTTTTCTGGCTGGGCCTCGAGTGTCTCCCTGTACCCTGCTAGGTCTCAAAGCTGTACACCACAGCCCTCCTCTCTGAGGTTCCAGAGGGGACAAGTAAGGGAATGCACATGAGGCTCTCCTGCTGGTGTCATTGCAGGGATGACATCAGGATTCAGGCTCCTTGGGGCCTCTGTTCAGGGTAGGGGTGTGCGTTCAGTCCTCACACAGGATCCTTCCCCGGCTCCTGGCAGACTCCTGGAACTGCTTTTTCTTTTGAATTAGGGTCACCCATGAGGACCAAATATTATATCCCTGAGAACCCTGAAAGTTAGTGAGGGCATGCTAAATCTCACAGCCCTTCCTGGGTCTTCTACCTCTGAAAAGAGACACAAGCCAGTCTCTCTCTGCCTCCAGTTGGGACATGGCGTTTGTCTTCCGAGTTGTCATTCATTAGAATCCTCCTCTTGACACCGCTCTCCTCTGTGAAACACTTCCTGGCAAAGGCCATATCCCTGAAAACTCTTGGTTCGTCTGCCTACTGAAAACCTGGCAGAGAATGGGTCGATGCCAGGAGTGATGTGGGGTGGGGAAGTTGCAGTGAAGGTAGAGAGCCAGGACAGGTGATGTGCTATCAGAGAACACACACTGACCTCTTCCTTCTCTTCACTAGCCAGACAGCATCTTAGCTAACTGTGCTTATCTTAGATTTACTTACTAAAGGGGAGAGTAAGAGGCAAATGAATTTGGGAGCCCCTGATTATTTGCGGTTTTCTGACATTTCCTTTGTAGGTTTAGATATTATCACTGAATATTAACTTTTTCTTTCTTTATTCATACCTCACAGATATTTAGGTAATTTTCCTGCTTGTTTGTGGCGCTATGCTTTCCAAATCGATATTTTGAGTATGAACTCCTGCTTTTTGAAACCCGCATTACATTTTGAAGCTGGGAACAGGAAAATGAATTAAGTGACATGAGGTGTACAGCAGACTTGGAGGATTGGCATAGTATGAAATGTGGAGGTATTCAGAGCCAGGGTCCAGCCAAGCTCTGTATTTCTTTGGCCTTGAATGTGAGACTATTTCAAGCTCTTTATCTGAAAAATGAGTCTGGTAGTATTTAGTGCAGGACTACGGACATTCACTTGTGATAAGAGATATAAGCCATCTGGCCCAGTATTAGGCAAATTTGGTGCTTTTAATGCATGGAGTTATTAGTAAGATGATTTGGACCCCAGAAAATAACCACCTTCCCTCAAAGAATTTAAATTCCAGACTCTAGTGTAGAAACATGCAACTGTGTACAACATAGATCCACACCAGCCAAAAGGCTGGTGAGCAAGTAGAAGTACAGAACATTTCCCCAATACAGCATGTGTGATTTAATATGGCTGTGGGTTGCCTTCTCTAGTGGGATGCAACTCAGAGTTTTCATCCAAACCACAATTAATTTCATTCATTTCATCACCTCCTTAAATGGAGCCCTCCCTTGCAGTTTGTCAGATTACACTCAGATTCTCTAGTTAAGAAACGGTTTTCATGGAGCCAGATGAGCCTCTCCCAATCCATGAATTGAGAGACTCTCTAGTGGCTTCTAGGCATCCCATTCAAGGGAATATCACCGTTATTTCTCATAAACACACCGGACATCCTATGTCAAAAAGACCTAGTTCCTGCACTATGTTCACCTGCCCTTGGCAAATGCACAAAGGCCTTCCAGCCAGGCCAAAGATGGAGAGTTCTCTCTGGTTTCCCCACATCCCAAAGCAACTCATGTGATACATTTGCCATTCCTGGGTCAGTCTCCAAACTCTGATACTCATCTTCTGAGGGTCTGGTCTATGTACCACTCCCTCAGCTTCCTCAAGCCCATTATGCAGCCCAACTGAAAATTACTTATCCTCCATACCCCCAGGGACTAGCAGTTTCCCAAGACCACCCATGCCTTGATCCCATGATGAACAATATATCGCTCTCATCCACAACCCCCTGTTCCACACCTCTTCTGTTTACTTGTCCTTTACTTATCATTACGGAGCATGCCAACATCTTCTTTCTATGACCAGTGCTGCTGACAGATTCTCAATTCCATGGGCACTGGCTATCAGTCTTCCTTCCCCTACCATCCCTAGTACTATGAGAGTGTTCCAAAGAGCAGATGGTCAATTGATGCCAAAAGGTAAAAAGACAGGAGCACGAATTCCAATTTATTGTAATTTAATTTCTCATACAGTTTGAAGGAGCTGAGCAGATCCAGGTATGTTATTTCATTTTATAAGAAAAGAACCAAGAGAATAAAGCAAACAAAGAATTAACCAGCCTTTACTCTTGTTTCCCCATATTGTGATCCCAACTCATTTCATGTACGATTTTCATACTTCCAGGAAAAGCTATCGCTGTGCCATGTTACCTTGCACTGTAGCAAAAAGTACACGTTGAAGGCTTTTCAATTGGTTACAAAAAAGAGAAAAACTCTTAATCTAAAATGTGAACACTAATACATGTGACATCCATGACGTTAACAACTCAGATTCTTAAGCAAATAAACCCTCGCTTAGAAGGAAGAACATTGGAAGATACATGTAATCCTAAATAATACTCATCTGCAGAAGAAAAAGAAACACAACAGTATGAATGTTCTGTTCCCTCCAGAGCCCACTACTCTTTACTATTTGGAAGGTTGGCGGCTCTCTTCAAACTCAAGGAAAAAAGCCTACCCCAGACCGCACTAGACATGGGAGGTGCTGCCGGACATGGCCCTGGACAGAAAACTGGCCTTGTTAAAAGGGCCAACAATGACTGCGGCTCTCAACCATGCTTTATCTTCGTCATCTCTCAAAGCCTCCTCATACAGGTTTGGGAAGGCATTGGGCACCGTATTATTGATCTTGGCCATAACCTCCAGCACTTTCATCTTGCTGGTCTCAGTGTGGGCTCTTGGGCCCCACAGGAACACGTAGCGTGGGGGATCACTGTTGGGCACCTGGCGGTGAGCCAGGTACTTTTGCTGAACCAGATCCTTGGTGACGAATTCCCTGGGCTCCCCGAGGATGGGATGACTTCTCTCAGGACGGACCCCCAACACTTTGAGGTACTCCCAGATCTCCTCCTCAGTGGCGCGGTTGCCTTTCATGAAGATCACGCCCAGGAGCACCATGAGGAACCCGGTCTTGGGCAAGACCTCATCGCTGCTCAGGTCTCCCTCAATCGGGAGGCCCAGGTTGTTGACAAAGGAATAGGTGCGACGATTGGGTTTGTCTTCCTTGAGCTGAAGGCCAAAGACCAGCTCCATGCGCTCAGAGGCTGCCTTGAGTATCTCAGGGAAGTGCTCTTGGTACTTTCGCTTGACAAACTTCAGCAGTGCGGCCTGTGTGATGGGCTCCTTCCTATTCAGCTTCTCCAGCAGGTACTGCATCATTTTGGTCACCTGCCTGGCTAGAAGATCTTTGCGAACCCGTGGAGTGGGGCGTGCTGCCTGGGAGGCACTTGGTGTTTCCTCACCTTGGCTCTTGGCACTGGCATCAGATCTTGGGCATGTGACACCTGCATCGGGAGAGCTACTGGCTGAGGCTCCCTGAGGCTCCTGGGGTGGGTCAGGAGCCGGGGCGCTCGGGGGCGAATCCCCCGAAAGAAGAGAGGGGGCCTCTTCAACCTCTGCTGCAGTGGCCTGAGCATCCTTGAGACCCTGAGTCTCACTCTGGGCCTGCCGTCTTTTCTCAAGGGCACGGAGCTTACTCTTCTGCCTCCGAGGCATGATGACACTGGTCAGGGACAGCAGGCACTAGTGTGGCAGGACAGTAGGTGATGCCAGCACCTGGAAGAGGGAGAATGAGATGGCCTGTGCCCCTTTAGCTGGGACATTGCACCCTGGCTTATCCAAGGCCATCTCTGCAGGGTCTGAGGGCAGTGCTCTGGGAACCCACAGGCTCCTGTTCTGACCGGACTCTTCCCCAGACACCCTGCAGAGGAAGTTAGAGTGTGCCTTAGGCCAGAGCCTTAGAGACCCCCCGGGGTGTTACCTGGGTGACTACAGGGGCTGGCGGGGGTATCCTGGGTCCTCGTCTGTGGAGTGCTCTCAGTTCCCATGCAGGATCGTCAAGTTAATTATTGGGAAGACCTGGGCCCCGACTCCCTGCTCTTGCTCTGAAGGGGGCACTTCAAACCTCCGCGCCACAAGTATGAATGGAGAAGCTGCCTCTGGCCGGGGGCACCCAGGACTGATGTCTCTGTGGAGCCCTCTCTGTCCTGGATCTTTAGGGCCCTCAGTTTCCCTTCAGACTACTCACGGGGTCTCCGCGCAGGGCCTCTGTCGGTTTCCCTTCATCACCCCTTCGGGGTGGGTCATCCCTCAGTCCCCACTCAGTTTCCCTGCTTGGCTCTGCTAGAGGCAGGGTCTCCTCTGGGACTAAGGTCAGCACCCACCCCGGCGCCAGAGGAGGACTTAGGACTGGCGTTGTCTAGCTGCCCTTGCCTGTGTTCTCCCAAATGAATGTGGCACCAGTGGAAGAGAGGCCCCCTTGGCAGCACCGATACAAGGTTTCACTTTCACCCCGTTGGACCCCCTAGGGGTGTCTCGAACATCACTCCCTGTGCTGAGTTGTGATCTGGCTTCTCAGGGAAGCCTTCCCCTCCCTGATGCCTGAGCAGGAATGAAGGGGCGCTTCCGCCTGCCCAGTGCCCGGGCTCCTTGAATGGCGGCAGGTAGGGACTCTGAGGTGTCCTCCGCGTTACTGGGCCAGTGGTCCCCGCAGTGATCCTGCTCCTCACCCTGTGTCTTCCCATGAGCTGGCATCCTCCCTCTGCGGGCCTGCTGCCAGCCCCTCAGACCAAGGCCCCCACCCCCGCTGCTGTCCGGAGGACAAGGAGAGAGAGCACCTGGGTTTTGGACCTGCCCCGAACCTCCCAGGCCGATGTCAGGACCAGGACTATGTGTGGCCACGTTCTGGGGTGCGGGCTGCCCTCACTCCTCACAAGGGTCCCCTCTTTCCGTCTAGAGGGCCTGGGGTTTCTCAGAGTCCAGCACCCTCGGGCTCGGGCCTTTCTTCCCTCAGACCGCGGGCCGAAGCAAGAGGACTTTGGGCCTAAAAGCCCTGCCGGGGCCTCCAGCCTGAGCGCCGGGGCGGGGGGGGGGGGGGGGTGGGGCAGGGCCTGTGTGGCTGCCTCTCCTCAGGGGGGCGCGGGATTGGGGTTGTCGGGGAAGCGCCCCGCAGTCCAACGCAGGACAACTCACACCTTGACACTGACAAGACGTGGGACTCCTCCCTCTGCTCAGCCTGGGCAGCAGTGTCAGACAAGGCCTCGCCTCCCACAGCAGGCTTGGGCGGAAGTTAGGCCCGGCCACTTCCGGTCATGCGGGTTGGGCCACCCTGAAGGGGCCGCGTCCCAGGGGACTCACGCAGGGGCCTCTCGCAGGCCCTTGGCAGGTGCTGGGACTGCTCCCCCTGCTGTGCCGACTCATCTGCCCCCAGACCAAGGCTCTCATTTCCCTCAGAACCCCAGTGGGAGTGGTCTGGGGCCTGAGCTTTGCAGCCACGCCTGGCGCCTCCCAAGACTGACATGAATGGGCGCTCCCCTCAAGCCTCTGTCAGTGTCTTCCCTTGACTCCTTGCACTTGCGGGGCGACCTCCCCTCTGCCGACCCAGGCCGACCCCTCACACCAAGGACCTCAACTCCCTCAGGCTCCTGGGGTGTGCGCAGGAACATCTCATCGGGCCACTCCTGCCGGGAGCCTCCCAGACATGGCCACGTGGGTGAGAATCCAGTGGCGCCAGTGTCCTGGGCTAGGCGACTTGCACTGAGCTCTAGCAGGCCTGGAATGCCTCCCTTTCCCAACTCAAAGCCTTCCTTTCCCACCGAGTTCCTCAAGAAGCCCGTGGGAAAGCGGGGCTCTCCTCAGCGGGACAGCTCAACCCGGGGCCTCCCTCGGCTCACATCAGTGCCACTGCTCCAATCGTCTCAAATGAGTGTCTGTCCTTGTGTGCAATTTCTCTGCTGCTTGCTATTCTTTTTCAGCAGGTTTGTATTTCTGACAAAGATGGTGTATATAAGGTATGAAACGTGATGTGTTGATACATGCATGCATTTTGAAATGATTACTACAATCCAGGTATTCAAAGTATCACCTCCCATAGTTCCCATTTGTGTGTGTGTGTTGTGAGAAATCCTGCCATTGTCAACAACTTGAATGAGCCTAGACTGATATTATGCTAAGTTAAATAAGACAGCCACAGAGAGGCAAGTATCACATGATCTCTTATATGTGGAGTCAAAAACAGCATTCAAATGTATGGCAACATAGAGTTCAATGATGTTTCCCACAGGCCGGGGTGTGAAGGAAAAGGGGCGATATTTGGCCAATGGAAAAATCAGTTCAGGATACCTACTGCATACCATGGTGACCGTGGTTAAGAATAATGGATTATGTACTTGAAATTTGCTAATACAGTAGATCTCAAGTGCTCTCGCCATTCTATTGTCATTCATTTCCTACATTTTATTTAAGGTGACTGTTTAAAAAAGCCTAGTGCTCACCAAGAAAGTAAGTCTCCCGTGGTTATTAGGACAATCTCTGGACTCATACCTGTTCATCAGGCGAGAACTTTGGCCCTGGCCTGACATTACCCCAGTGGTCCTGTCATGTGGGCTCTGAAGTGCTGCCTCTGGTTCCTTCCGTGAAGCAGTACCAAGTTTTCCTTCCAGGGTGCCCTGGAAGAGTCAGGGATTGCCTTTAAAACCTTTTCTATGCCCTGGCCAGTTTGCCTCAGCAGTTGGAGCGCCGGCCCTTGGAACAAAGAGTCGCAGGTTCGATTCCAGTCAGGGGCACTTACTTGGCTTGTGGTTCATCCCCTGTCCTGGTCAGGGTCTTGCGGGAGGCAACCAGTCAATGTGTCCCTCTCAAGTTGATATTTCCCCCCCCCCCTTTTCCCCTCTCTTTCCCTCTCTTTCTCCCTCTCTCTCCTTCTCTCTTACTCCAGCTGAAGATAAATAGAAAAATATCCTCAGGTAAATGTTAAAAAAAATATTTCCTCTCTCCACTCTCAATTTGCCTTTATTGCCAGCTACACATAAATCTCAACCTCAAGAGTATCTCCCTACCTGCCCCCACAAAGTTCTAGTTCAACACTGACTTAGGATCTCTCAGGGGGTTGTTATTTTTGTTCTTTTGCTGCTATTGTCAGTACCGTTTTTGTTATTCTTTCTTTAATTTTTCCAGGGCTGATTTGAGGTTGTGAGAAACCGCAGCCTGAGTTTGGTTGTCACCTTTGCAGTGCAAGTAAGGCATTAAGTCTGTAAATATATTCTGGAGTATTGACGTATTTAGAATATTCTCTTTCCCTTCAATAAACATAGTATTCTGCCCTGAGACTTCTTTCTTCTTCTTCTTCTTCTTCTTCTTTCTCTCGTTTTATTAATTTGTTTTTGTTACAGATGTTTTTTCCCCCCATTGACACCCACCTCCCCATGCTCTTTGCCTCATCACCAGCTTTGTTGTCTCTGTCCATTCTGAGCCATTTAGTAGGTTTTCAATAAGCCATTTAGTAGGTTTTTAGTTGCCTCCTAAGAACTTGTACACTTCTGCTTAGTTTTCTGTTAGGTATATTTGTATATTATCGTGGTTGTAAATATGTTTTCTATTACATGTTGTAGTTTGTTAGTGATTTTGTTTGGCCGGAGTCTTGATTTTCTATTGCTATCTTTCTTACATAAGTTTTCTAAAGTTACTATCAATGTGCATTTTTTTACCACCAATTCTTATTTTTTATTTAGGAGATCATATTTTTACTATTATTATCTCTTTCTTTGCACTATTCTTACTTTATTATTTTTATTCTTGTGTCATAGCTGTGTACTGGCGAGGTATATGTTTGAATTGTAACCTGTGTATTTCATACCAAATATCTTTGTCCTTCTTTGAACTCTATTGGTTATGTTCGTGTTTCACAATGTTTCTGTTCACTGTAGCATTTGAAAAATAAAAATTTTATCTTAGTGCAAGTTTCCTAAAAGACATTGTCATGAACCTGTGTGTATTTTTGTCAAATAGTTTTTCTTACCCCTACATATTGACTTTTTTTTTTTTTTTTTTTTTTTTTACCAATTTTTGCTAATGGAGTGATTTGCAGTTTACAGTATTTCCTAATGAATACTAACAGCTATGCTGGCAATACTATGAATTTATTTATTATTTTCATGTTCATGTGAGTGAGGTTGTCTTTAAGTGTTATTTTATTGAAGGATCCTCATCTGGTCTTTATATGAAGAGTGGTAGCCTATTACAATGTTTCAATAGCTTCCAATTATTTTGTATGGTTTAGAAGAGTTTACATGCAATGAAAATGCATTTTTCCTGTGCCATTTGGTATTAACAAAAAAACCCAAACCTGGCTAGACTTGCAGTGCTTCAATGTACCCTTAGGTCAGTGTGTAGTTTCTGTTTGAAACATGTTGGTTAGAGATTTCTGTTTGTCTATGGACCTATTTGACCATGTATATCTTGCCTAAAATGGTCCGTTTGACTTGAATTTTCATATAAAAGGCATGATATTTAAATAAAATCCTCTTATTGTAAATATTCTCAAACATATACACCAGTACAGAGAATGGAACTATGAACCCAGTTAACTGACATGTCTCATCAACAATCCCCCATTTTTATAGGAAGAATCTTGTTCATGTTAAGTTTAGGTATTTGTTTCGTTATTGGCAAGCACAGTCGAGAGGTAACAATATGCACTTCCATTGGAAGATACATGA